GCGCGCGCACGCGCGAAGAGAGATGGGAAACGGACAGGAGAGAGTGGCTGTAGTTTATCAGATGGTGCAGAGACATTAGAGACCTGCATTATTGATGCTGTGGTCAATAGAGGTCTCCAGTGGCCCACAGGAACCGGAGAGCGAAGGATAAGAGTGTGCGAGAGTGCTCTAGCCGACAGTGAATAGAGAGGCATCTTTATCGAGGCAAATAAGACAGAAGCTTTTATTCTTCGAGAAGCAGAAATCACATTCTGGTTTGATTTTAAGAAAATATGTACACATACGTGTTTATTAGGAGGCTAATACACAGTATGATGTCAATCTCAAGCGTAGGATCCAAAAAAACACTACTAGATACAGTGGGTGAAAGCTCTGTGAGGCTTCCTCCAAACTGAGTCATTTTACCACTTGTTGTGCCTGAGATATCACTAAACAGCTGAAATTGTTCAAAATGGGTAGCTGTAAGTAACGGCCATGCTGAAGTAATTGGCCTAAAATAATCTTTCCCAATTTTCTGCTCTCCCTGTGCCGCTCTGTGTTTCACTCTGTTTTCACTTCCTCCCTGCTTGTCACTGTCTGTATGCCTTGCACACACACTCTCACATGCTGATGTTTCCCCCCTGTCTCTGCCTTTTTCCATCTCAAACCATCTGTGGTGCCATCTCTGTAGCTCTCGTCTTAGACACCCAGGAAAGCTTCATTTTGTCTTCAACGTGGTAGAGATCCCAGCATGCTCCGGCCGGCCCGCGGGGAGACGAGGCTTGTGTACTGGCTGGCTGTTTGACCTCATCAATCCTGGCCTGGTTTTCCCTGGGAAGGCTGATTCGTCCAGCAGCCCAGCGCTGCCAAAGGTAATGAGTAGACTGGGGTAAAAAAAGCTGAAAGTAGATTGTGCACATTTGTGGTCTTGGCTGATAAATTTCTAAGTGCTCATATTTGCTGGTACAAGCGCTGTAGGAGTTGCAAGCAAACGCTCATAGGGTGAGAAAAAATAGATGTACCCTTCTGGCTAGGTTGAAATCTTGCTACACTTTACTGGGCCTTACTTTGTCTTTGTTTCGATTTTTCCAGTAAAATAGCAAAAGAGGTTGACTGCCCCATTCTCCTTCTAGTATTACAGTTCAAGAGGTACTAGAAGGGGTGGGAAGCAAGAGTTGAAACGGCTTGAAATTGTGCTGTGCTGGGCGTTAGGGATTCAGACAGCTTCCACTACGTGTTTTATGTCCCTCTGAAAACTCGGCTTTACTAGCTCAGACATGTAAAGAGAGTGAGCTTTGAGCCAGTTGTGTGTGTGGTTAATTAAAGTAAAGTAGTTTAACTTAGAGGAAGCAGTCTTCCCTACCACATACCCTATGGATTTCAATTGCAGCTCATGAGTTTTCTCATTAGTATATCTTAGAGTAAGAAGTACATCAATGAATCGATTGGCAAACCCACAGCGGCTCCTTGGCATTGTTGTAATTACTCTAATTATTGTAAATGCGCTCTAATATCCTTTGATGCTAGATCCATGTGAGTTTGAGACCCAACGCGTCTTTTCGGCTTCCCCCTGATCCATCAGTGCCCTTCATCATGGTTGGCCCAGGCACCGGAGTCGCTCCATTCATCGGCTTCCTCCAGCAAAGGTACGCTTATGTTTTTTTTAAGCGCACAATAGAATATCAGCTTGCAACACAAGTGACTTTTTTCCCCAAATAAGAGGCTCATTGCATATTTTGCAAATGTTTCCGTCAAGAGGATTCAAGTGCATGTAATAATGCACTTGAATCGGCGCCAAAAATCGCAGCTGAAGCGGGTCAGCGAAATGTTCATGTCAAGCATCGGGTTATGTGCTGATTTGTGCAAAGTGTCGCACACACATTTCCAGCTGAAATTACGCAGCCTTTAATGAATATTCACAATGTTGAAGTGATGTTAAGTGCTCATCATCTGTGCATATTTTCTAGTAATCTGCAGAGACAATTAAATGAGACCCTTCTCAAAGCCGGTAAAAAGACCACGTCATGTACATCACATAAGCCATAATAAATCTCGCAGCGAGGGCTGCGATCACGTCAGGGATTATGTCAGGTGCTTTACTTATCTCTCCAGGAATAAATTACACTTTCTCTGATGCACAAATTTATGACTTCTGTAATAAAGGGCCAAGAGTTAAAGCAGCACGTAGAGTGATATTGATTTCAGAGTAAATTCTCCAGTAGGTGGTGGTCATGTTGGAGCAAATCATTGCTTGTAATTGCCAAAGAGGTGATTGGAGGATATTGACTGTTAGCTTAGTAGGCAGTAGTTCTCTCCAGCTAGTTAAACCATCGCTGCGTTGTACGTCTGTGATTGAAGAGTGCTCTCAATTAGAGGAAAACGTGACATTTTGTTTAATTGTCTGAATTGATGGCTAAATCGAGATTGCGAGAAGATGACCTGTCAGAAGGATTTAATGTGATCCGGGCTGATGGCTGTGTGTTGAACCAGGCTTATAGCCACCATGAATTGTCAGAAAGCGCAGTAAGCCTTTTTAGTCAGACTGACATGTCTAACTCTTGGGTGGCTTTGTGTAAATGAGGTTGTGCCCCAGTCAACTCCAATTGTCTCTAAATCCCCCGGATGTCTGCTCTGTAGTGGCGGGTGGTGTCCGCGCGTGATTGCTCTGAGAGGTGACCGGCTGAAGTGATGGCAGCGGTGGATTGTCTGCCGGAAAGAAGAGTGGTCATCTGGGTGATGCTTTGCTAGTGCCTGTGGGATGGAGCGATGAAGATAGCACATTTTCTGACTGACCTGGTCGCAGCACTCACAGGCAGGCTCTTCTTCTTAATGATAAAGGCTCAGCCAGAGGACAGTGCTCTGATGTAAGGCACTGATATGAACATATTAGTCTTACTTTCATCCTTACAGCAGAGGCCAAATATTGCTCTCCAAAATGTAAATCTCTAAAAAAAGCACATTCGAGTGTTTTATTACAGCAGCAGACGAGGATTTTGATTGATTTTTGCAAGGCTGCGTGTTCATAACGCTCAGCCTCCTAATCAAATATGTCCTTAAAGTTCAGTTTAAAGACTTGTTTTGGGTTTTTTTTGTTTTTTTTCTTTTCTTTTTTTTATATCACGCAGCTCTTGACTGTTCCAGCATAAGCCCACGTGAATCAATTCATCCCAGCTGTCTCGACAGTCGCTTCTCCTCGTCTGCGTCTCTCATCTTCTCCCCTGCCAGCTGCGTATTCTGCTCGAGGATTGTAAAAACCTGTCGCGGTGCGCGGCATTGTGCACAATCTATCTTGAGATTCCAAACAAAGCCTCGGCGGCTGACGCTGCACTCTGATAGGAGATAACAATCACCAGTTTGTCAACGGGACGCCGTATCTGCCTCGAGGCCCGAGAAGGGCCCTGTTAGCAACAAAACAACACGGGGACACTTCGATCTTCCTACCTCTCCCCTCGTTCGCCCCCACTGTTAATCGATGGCTGTTTTCAAAAGTACTTTGTACGGGTTTGTAGCACTGGTAACAAGTAGAAGAAGAGTCTCTAAAGGTCAGAGGCTCACTTGGTGGTACCAGGAGATTTTAATAAGGGCCTCCAGTAGTCTGGTATTGATTGCTGTTGTGTTCGTGGAAGGATTTTATGGAGAATGTGATTTTCAGCGTCTTTCAGTTTAGCTGGGAGCAGTGACAGTTAAACAAATATTGTATTTTAAGTGAGTGGTTTGCCTTAATCCTCTTAGAAGCCATAACATAACAAGTTTTTCTTTTGGAGTGGAAAAAAAAGAATCTTTTTTCCTCAGTTTTAGGTGCACCAGTAGGCATATTTGGTACATTCAATACAACAATTTGTATTAAAGTTTGTGTTTTTGTGTGAGCAAATATTTAGCTTCCATTTATCAGTTCAAACAGAAAGCTGACTACAATTAGGCAGCTTAAGCATCTTGCTTCTGTATTATGAAAACATTTTGAATTCATCACTTTGGATGTATATTGTAATTCTGCAATGCAATGTCAGTGATTAAGTCTCAAGCTGTTGTTGTTTTTTGGCTCTTTTGTATTTTTAGAATGTAAAAAGGCACTCAGTGCCACTCGCATTGAGCTGCAAAGATGAAAATGAAAGATATGAGATAATTGTGATGTTTACCAGGCCTTAACCTCAGCTTCCCTTGCAGTTTCCCCTCCTGCTGATCAACTGAATGGCGCTGAAAGGCAACTGCCTCTGATTTCGACCCCAAATGGAGTGCTCTGTAGATGCTGCATTCCCCTGGGATTTTATTGCAGGCTGTTATAGTGTGGGTATGTGGTGTGATGTGATGTGATTTGTATTCAGGGAAAGGCGCCGGTGTGGTCTACTCAGAATGGAATCCAGGTTTTTCATATTGGTATTGATCCCTTTAGGGCAGGCGGCGAGAGGAGAGACGAGCCCACTAAAATGAGTTTACTTGAGGCTGTTTGCAGATCAGAAGAATCTCGTCCAGGATGCTAATGGACGGGATCTGAGCGTTCAGATGAAGTCAGCCAGACAGCTCTGTTACCAAGTCTCAGTCGCAAAGTTCAAACAAATGTATTCCCTGAATCTTTCTTACTTACTGGTCAACTTTACATTTAATTAATGAGAGCTAAGCTTTGTTTTTAGTATTCGCAGTCACACTTGCGCATTGATTTGTTTTTGCCTATGGCTAATTACTGTAGCGCTACAACAAAACAATTGATTAATCTCTTCATTATTTAAAAAAAAAATGTAATGAATCTGGTAATCCAGTCAGAAAATGTCAGAAAATACAACCTCATTTCCAGAATAACCTGGGATGCTGTGTTAAATGTAAATAAAAACAGAAAGCAATGATTTGCAAGTCATTTAAACCTTTATTTGGTTCAGTGTACTGCAGAGACTGCACAGATGCCAGCAACATGCTTCAAAACATGAGATGGAGGAAATGAAATTCAGAGATGTGTTATGCTAAATAGACACTTCATAAACATTTCATTCCCCAATGAGTAACTGGCAACACTTTAGTTAAATGAGTGGCAATGAATAGAAACTCCTATGGAGATGTTTAATTATTGATTTTGCTTTTCCCAAAGTAAAGGAAAGGAGGGTATGACTGCTCTTTGGAAGACTTTGTGGGCAAATAATTCAGCAATTTCAGGATAAAAAAAATGTATTATTATGTAGAATCTGGGAACTCCGTCATCTGTGGTACATCATATCAGTAAAATCACAGTATACAGGGAGCAATCAGTCATGATTTTTCTGTTCTTCAGGAACAGCTTTGAAGACACGTCTCTGTTGTGAAAATCACCGCGTGGGCCCAACAAGACTTTTTTCAGTGTCAGTTTATCACAGAATCCAGGATTGCAAGTTAGATCTGTGCCTTCCAAGGGAAATCCATACATAAACAAGATTTAGAAATTGACCCAAGTCAATTTAAGACAGACTGAGGGGAAGTGGAAAAGTGTCCTGTGGTCTCGCCAGTCAATATCTTAAATTGTTTTTGGTAATCGTGGACGCCACGTCCTTCAGGCTAAAGAGCAGACGAACCATCTGGCTTGTTATCGGCACTCAGTTCAATGCGAGCATCTTTGATTGTATGGGGGGAGGGCATTATTGCACATGGCTTTATAAACTTGCACATCTGTGAGCGCGCCATTAATGCTAAGTTAAGTTTTGGAGCAGCATATGCTGTCATCCAGACACTTTACTTTTTCGGGAATACTTTAATTATTTTAACAAAGCAAGTGCTGAACCGTGGTTTTCATGTTTTTTCAGCAGCGTGCCTTCTTAGTAAAAAACAGTTGGAGAGTGTTAAATTTAGTTACTTTTCTGCAATGTGGTAAACATAACTAAATAGAGTTTTTAATGAGATTTATTACTGGCATCACATTCAAAATGAGCATGTTTTCTAAAAGGAAAAACAAAACGTCAGAGTTTCAGTGTTCACTATGTTGTCTTTATGCAATCTGTAATTAAATATGAGGGCTAATAGACCTGCAACTCATAGATTCTGACCTTTATGTACAGTTTACATAGTGTTGTTTGGAAACACTGTAATTAAGAGTTCTTTGTGGTCTACAGGCCAAAGTGACTTCTTTGTGTTGCCGAGTTCAAATTTATATTAAAACAGTACAAATCTTTTAAAAAACAGATACAAGTGTCCTCTACCTTTTTAAACCAATTCAGCGACCTATCATCCAATAGCATAGTGACAATAAAATCCAGTCAGTCTTCTGCTAAATTTAGATTCTTCCTGGCTTTGACTCACACCTTTGTTTTTGTGCAGTGGATATCGAATATTTCATCTCGCCTTTCCAATCAAAGATGTTTCCACCTTGTTTATGTCATCTGCATCGTGCTGTTTGAATCATGCTGTTTGAACCGTCTTGGTTACCTGAGTCTTATTAGCTGTTGTTGTGCAAAAGCAATCTAGATTATTTATTGTTCCCTCATGAAACATATCCAGTCCAGTCCAGTTCTAACCCATGCCTTCAAAGGAGGTCTTGCCCACAAAACTGCCTCCAACTCCAGGCAAAAATATCTTTTGCCTGGAGATTTTCTTATCCACATCCTGAGTCTTCGTCTCTGCTCATCTTGCAGTTTTAGACGTAGATGTGAGATGACTCAGACTGTGTCCAGTAGGTGAAAATTTGCAAAACATTCAGATCATTTAAAAATATTTCAATAAATGTAGTTCATTTTGTCTTAATTTTGAGGTTAGTCATTTATTTTTTGTGCTGAAATACTTATTAGATTACTTATTAGCACAGATTTAAAAGTATTATCACCTCTTTAAGCACAATATCCCTCCATTAGTCTCAGGAGCTGGCTGCCATTTTCATTTTGTGATAGCTGAAAAACACAGCAGGATTCAGTCTGTCTGTGAACAGCAAAGGATGGGATTTAGGGAAACAGGCACCGTATCCTCGGAGCGCAGCGGTGCAGCACAAAGAGCCCAGTCTCAGTGTCTCTCTGTGGTATTTCTCAGCCCCTTGTCATGGTTGGTCACTTCAGCTAGCCCCTCCCCAAATCACCCACCCACAGCTAGGGTAACAGATAATGCCGGTCTCTTTAGACAGTCAACTGACTGATGGCATCATGAAAGGTTGGAGGTCAACTGTTATCTGGGAGAGAGCTGTCACCTTTGCGGCAGGTGTGTGGCACAGATAACGGCATCCTCAGAGCCGCTTTGTGTTTCTGCATTGCTGTTGCCTGCAAAGGACTCTGGGAGATTTGCCAAACTCCAAAGCCACAAGAGAAATCACTTTTTCAGGAGCAGGTTTTTTTTTTTTATGTTGTTGCACCGAATAACAGACACACATAAATGTAGGAGTAAAACTTGTACACACTCACACACTGAGCCCTAGTTTCATTTTCAGCAGCTGCTTATTGTGATGGAACCTGTGCTCGGGTGGAATTTAATAATGCATATAATGTCCTTCCTTAAACACACAGGTCGTCTCTGTGCACGTGCCACTCCTGTCATTACAGACAGTGCTCAACAGCGTCACATCTCTTCTTTAGCCTTTTGCTGTGACGAAGGACTCTCCTCCATCGGGCCTGTGTCTGTTTGTATTGATTGACCACTAACATCTGTTGTTTGACTTTCAGAGAGGAGGAGAGACAGACGAACCCCGAGGCCATATTTGGAGAGACCTGGCTGTTCTTTGGATGCCGCCACAGAGACCGAGACTACCTGTTTCGGTAAAGTGTATTTTTCCTTTCAGTTCAGTCGTCATTCAGACCCACATACCTTTTGTGATTCAGATTTAGTCCTCTCCATAACCCTCTTTACCTTGCTGCTGCACTTCTCCATGTATTAAAATCTGTGACCTGCATAATGAAGACTGCAGTCTGAATGTACAATGTGTGAGTTTTATTATTCACTTCTATATATCTATATCTGTATATTAAATGCTCAGGGTATGTTCTAGGGTGTTTGGGAAGAAAACTAACATGCATACGCAGCTACTTTACTTAATGTTGCAAGATCCTCTGACCTTTTAACATGGTTTGGTTTATATAGCTGTTATCTGGAAATTCCTAGAATATCCAAATAATATTTTAAAAATTAAAGCATTAAAATATGTAATATTAAAGCTCCACTAAAGGTATATTTTATAAAAACATGGGATCTATAGTGTGGTTAATGTTGGTTTTAGGGATAATTACCATTTAATTTATGAACGCAAATGGATTGTGAACACAGTCAGTCCCAGCAAGTCTACTCAGAACTCACTCAACTGGTTGTATTCTGGTTATAAATACAACCAATGTCATGTTACACTGAAATCCAACCTTTAGTGGAAGACTCCAGGTTATTGCCAATTTGCCCCCCTCCCCCCCTCCAATGCCATTTCAAAGGCAACATCCACTGTTTTCCCTCAGGGGCTCTGTAGCATTAGGATCACTTTTAGCTTCTCTTAATTCATTGTTTTAGCCTATAAATCAAATTCTGACTGTTTTGGTTCACTTTTATATTCAACAGCCTTAAAAGCTGTAAAAAGCTTTAAAAAGCATGTAGTTAGCAAGTTAGCATGTGGTGGTGGTAAAGCATTTAATAGCTTAATACTAAATATTTTCCACAACAAATACGGTGCAAGATTCACAGCTAAAAATAGATAAATAAAGTAAATGTATTAGACTTTAATTTGTCTGCTGCCCAGACCTCCAAATGCAACAGTTATGTTAGCCATAGCGGCTTCAAATGTCAACAGCCAAACCTAAACAGATTCAATATTTGCTAATGGATTTAGACTCAATGAATGGTTCTACTCAATCACAGCCCGGCTCTGTTTTTGTTTTTGTAACTGAAAAAGAAGAAGGGGTTGGTGTCCCCCCCCCCCCCCTCCCCCCCCCCCCTTAATTTCCCTAAAAAAAAATAAAAACCGAAAGAACCCCAACCCCCCTCCCTGTAATGAGCTTTGTTCATCTCAAGTAACATTATCTTGGTTGTGTGAAGAGAGTTGGACTGGAGCAAACAATGAAATGGACACACACACGGTAACAGGGAGCAGAGGAGGCGAGTGTTACTAGCTCAACTGTAAATGACAGAACAGACTCTGACACAGTGCTGAAATCAAACAGTTTCACATAAAAAGCCTTCAGTTTCTTTTTACCTTCTTTTTCTTTTGGGTGGGAAGAGAGCAGTCCCTTGGAGGAGGGGAGGTCCCAGAAGGCACTGGTAGTAGAAACACTGAGAACATTTCAACGCAGGCACTAGGTTGTATTATAACGCCAATCTTAAGTTACCTTAAGTTTGATCCATTTAAACTGTACTAAATATTAAACCACCGCTCTTGATTTCTGAGCCGACATCAGCCTCAGAGGAGATCTTTGCTCTGATTAGTTTGTTTTGGCTTTTCTCTCTCCTGACTCCATACTAATTGATCAGCTCTTGGTAGTACCAGCAGTGAGCGTGTGCTCAACACCGGTGCGCTGATCGAGTTCTTTTGCAGGATTAAAAAGCATGAAAGGATTAGCATCCTTAATCAAACAAGGATAGATCACAGAGGATGTTGTTTGTTCGCTTTTGTTTCCTCTATCTCATAGTTAAATACGAACTCGCAGCCAGGTAGAAGGCAGTGTTTGCTCACAGTGTGGGCTTCTCTGATGAATACCCCCACAGTGTTGACCAATATGATTAGTCTGTGTTTTATGAGCCACCCATGAAGCGTTGTACTTAATTTAAATAGGTTAGCAGAATGAGAACAACATGCCTGCAGTTGAATTGACTGCCTGCATTCATCCCTGCTGGATTTCTCTTAAATTAAGTGCAATTTGATGTCTGGCATTGCCCTGGAATGCAAAAACCTTCTTAGCATAGTCTGTAATGTTTTTCCTTTTTTTGTATAATGTCCCAGATTTTAAAAGAAAAGTTCAGCTGCCTCTGTCAGAATCACAGGTCTAAATTTAGACTGAAGCATATATTGCTTTTAATGCTTATAAATATTAAGAAGAATGTAAAGGTAGGATGTGACCAACCCCTCCGGTCGTGCTCTGAATGCAGAAGACAAACGAGGCTCGTGACACGCCTCAATCAGCCGCAGCACTTAACATCCCTGCGAGAGATTCATGCTCATCTGCCTGCATGCCACATCAAACCTGTCCTCCCCTTTCGCCTCTGCCGCACTTATCCTCTCCCCCCGCCCTCCCTGCGACGCCTCAGCCTCTTTATGGCGTGTGATTTCACGCTGTAGGGAAAACGCGACTGGAAGGCCCGCTGGGTTCACGTCAGGGTCCGGGAAATTGCCACAGGCTGTTACGTGTCGAAGCACACAGAGGAATCTGGCAGGTTTTGGCTCTCATAAAACCCCGGGTTGTTGTGTGTTTCTAAGAAGTCAACTGTCATTTATCATCTGCCGGTTTCTGCTCGCACGGTTATCAATCTGTGATGATTTATATTCAGACGTCAAACAAACAAACTCGGCAATCCTTCTCCTTGTTATTCATCTGGTCGCTCCTGTGTTCAAACAGACTTTGTAATCACATATCTTGGTCAAAAGATTTTTTCCTCGAAGGAATTTTTTTCTCTTTTTAATTTAATGATATCTCTAAATGAAGGTTAGATGGTAAACACGCTGCAGAAGAACTAACAATTCTGGACATTTCAAATAGAACAAAGGGCAACAGCGCTCGCCTCTCCCTTTAGTATTCACACCACAGCGTCTCTGTGTTATCAAAAAATGCCTTATTTTAGTCTAGGGGTTACTGCAAAACACAGACCCCCCCCGAGGCAAAGACCTTCACCCCTGATCTCGGAGCTGGGGCTGTTATGACTGTGTGCGTGTGTCTGCGTGTGTGTTTCTGCTCATTCCGACTGCTTAACTTTAAACAAGATGCTCTGAGCCACAATAAACCTTACTCCCTCACCACCTTCCTCCTGCCTTCCCTTCCAATAGCACCCCAGGCCCTGTAAAAACACTGAGGCAGAAGAAGAAGTAGTTGGCAAGCAAAACACAGATAGAGAGCAAGGTTACACCCCACTGCCAGACTGGGAGGATTGATTGTAAAAAGATGCTTATAACAGTGACTCGACCTTGCTTATGAAATCCATATTTTTTTTTCAAACTTCTCTTGTTAAAGAAGACAAAGTGGTTGTCTGGCACATTTTTGCTCAGACCTTTTGTCCATCAGTGTTCGGTGTTGAGCTTGACAGTATGTTTTTTTATTTTTTTTGGTTCATAGGAAATGTTTGTAGTTCCGATCTTGTGAGATGGTGCGAACCATTGCTAAATATCCCACGGGAGTGTTGGATGTGAAAGAATAAACAGCCAATGAAAAAATGTTAAATTAAATTGGGGTTTTTTTTCTTGTAAAAAGCACATAAAAGTGCTGTCTCTCACAGTTGCTCCCATTCACGTATCGCCTGATCTTCGCTCTGCACCAGCAGCTAAAACTGAGGCCTCCCGACTGCTTTTGACAAGTCTAATCATAACAAAATGAGGAACAGACTGTCCAAGATTACAGGAATAACTTTAATAACCTCTGCTTGCAATTTGTCTTGTCCCAGAGAGGAACTCGAGGGCTTTGTGTCCAGAGGTATCCTGAGCCACCTCATGGTGTGTTTCTCCAGGGACCACGGGGAGCACGAGGACGCCGCCACCTCAGCCGCACGTCCCAGATATGTCCAACACAATCTGCTGCTTAACAGCCAGCACATCACTGACGTCCTGCTCAAACAAAACGGTTACCTCTATGTCTGCGGGTAAGAGTGACACACTGGATCTTATTTCAGCCTTAATTCGTGTTGAGCGATGGTTGTTCTTTTCTTTTCTTTGTTTTTTGTTTTGTTTGACGTCCACCTTGTTCGGCTTTATCATGTTACGGCTGCGCTTCTATTAAGTTTATCACAGCCTGCATCTCACTCACAGCTCCTCTTTCTAACACTTAGGCCTGGTTTTGTCACATTGCTTTGCCTTGCAGTATAGATTCCTTTCAATGCTCACGTTTGATGTTCATAAATTTCACATTTCCAGTTTTGTATTTTTATATTAGAGTAGCTTATTTCCAGTTCAAAATGTTTCTTAAATATTGTATTTTAGGCCTTTGTGCAGCCAGTGTCTGAAACAAGACATTTCTGCTCCTTTCCCATTAAGCTGGCTTTCTCCTGATAAGCTGACCCACACAAACAGAAGGTTGGTAAGAAGGTCACTGAGGCTGCTGTGCTCACAGCCGGAGGTGTGAATCCTGTGAAGCCAAACTTTTGGCTCACTGGATAATTGCACATATGAAACTTCAACTTTTTAATGTAAGAGAAAGCTCGATGAGAGCTAGACTGTTTGGGTGGTTCAGGAGAGAGCGAGGGTTCACAGTCTGCCAGTTCGGGGGTGTCCCGTCTACCTGCAGAGAACTGTTGTCAGATGGAGGCAGTGTTCAAGCATTGTACAAAATACAAGGCTTTTGCTGTTGTCAGTCCTTCAGCCAGTTATAACATACAGAGAGCTGAAGTGAAAAAGTGTAACAAAGAATGTGACGCCACACTCTGCGCTTTTCGTGCAGTGTTTTTGATCTTTGATGGTTTTTTTGTGGTTTGTGGTGCTGTCGATCCCTCACTTATTCCGGCCCACTTGTCGTCCAATCAGCAATCAGCAGATGTATATGTCATCCGCTTCCAGCGATGTGCAGCTGGGATATTTGGTGAGAAGCCCTCTCTGTCCAAAAGGAAATGTGTGCGCAGACGGACACATTTGTGAAACTATAAGTTACATTTTAGTTGTAGTCGTGGTGAAATATATTCTGAATGTGGTTTATTGTGTATAAAGCCAGTGCTTCCAAATAAAGTTCCTGTAGTTACTGTGGCGTATAACACCATAATCAAGTTCATCATTTCTCGCAGAATGAATTTTTGGGTAACTTTGAAATATGGGCAACATTTGGGATCTAGGCTGTAACTCTGTTAGGCTGACTACGTGCCAGCGCACACAGAACACGAGGCAGAAGATTTGAGTCAGGCTTTCTGAGTTAGCGTGCAGGCTTCTCGTCAGTTTTGCCAAGGACTCCTGAGTCACTGAAGACAATCCAGCTCGATCTGGTGCTTTCAGAGTGGTCGATAGCAAGTGTGCAGCGAATGAGCGTAAAATCCATAAAGCACATATGAATCGTCCTTTTTGTTTATCCACTCAGCATGCAGTGATCCAGAAAAATGTACACACTAAAAAGTAATGAAGCTTTGTATTTTATATGACCACCTTTTGGCTTGTAAACGGCAAACACTCGCAGGTGTTTGGCAGGTACGTTGTTTCACTCCTGCTGGAGAATTTGCCACGATTCTAATGTGGGTTTACAATCAGGAGCTCTTTTTAAACCAATTCTGCCTTAATGCGTTTAAGAAGACCCCTGTTTATGACACGTTGGCTTGTTTAGACTAAACCACACCACCCCGACGTGTGATTTCTACAAGGTATGGCAACGTTGTGGAATCAGAGAGGCGTTACATCTAACACGGCGGCGGCGGCTTCCCGCTACGGCGGCTCTGACTTTTACACAGGCTACGATTCGGCTCAGTCACCTGCCTCTGCTGCTGGCTTGAAGGAGCAACAAGAAAGCCTTCCCATTCTGCCTTTGTACCTTTTATGCAGAAAGCTACGGGCAAAATAAAGGTGCAATATTCCCACCTTGAACATGCTCTGTGAAGAGGTTTCAGTTGTTTCATGTTGTCTCTTCGTGTAATCCCAAACTCGGTTGATGACGCTGAGATCAGGGCGCTGAGGGAGCAATACCATCTGTCGCAGGACTTCTTACTCCTCTTAACTTTGAAGATATTTCTTTTGAGTGCGACTGTAATGTTTGGGTGCTTCATCATGAGCTCACCGATGGATCAAATAAAGCACCCTACAAGAAAATCTAATAATTTAGTTTTGAATTGCTTTGACATGAAAGTACAACGTGGTTTTTTTCTGAGTGATAGACGTGGCTTGTTAATAAGAAAGATAACTGTCTGTCTTCTTTTTTCTTTTTGTTTAAACAGAACATAAAATCATTTTTCTGACATCTTTGCAACAGTTGCCTTCACTCAAATGGAGCATTATGTTATCATTTATATTGCATGCGCAAAACCAACATGCCAACTCATATATGCATGATGTAGCTACATACCACATTCCTTTTCTCATGTTTCGCCCTTCCCCACCTTGGAGTAGATGACTTTTGAAACGTCAGGCGTGTGGGAATTTTTTAGAGTCAGAAAATATCTCAGTTGGATGATGAATCTCCCCCAATACGACTGCTACAGCAAGATGGATATTTCAGTTATTTCCTTCCAGGATAGACTCCAGCATCGGCTGTGCTCAGTGGTTTTCTAAAAGATTGCTTGCCGCAGCGTATAGACGTATAAAAATCCTGTCGCTTGATTATATTGCTCTTTTGCCTAAAATGACTGTTGTTTTTTTTCTCCTTTCTGCAGGGATGCTAAAAACATGGCTAAAGACGTGAATGAGACCTTGGTGGAAATAATTAAAACGGAGCTGCAGGTGGACCAACTGGACGCCATGAAAAGACTGGCAGGGCTTAGAGAAGAGAAGCGCTACTTACAGGACATCTGGGGCTGACAGTTGATGATTAGATAAGGGCACTTTGCAGGATTCACGGGGCTTTCTTAAACCTTCTTTAAAAAAAAACCCAGCATCCTCAGCTGTGACCCAGAGAACCCTAAAATTGTCGTGCTGAAGCCTGGAGATAGTTTACACAACTCAGCGCTGCCAAGAAGGAATGCACCACACTGACCCGGGGATATCGGTTCACTACACCATCTTTGGCTTTGCTTTTTGAACAGAAATGACCTTGGTCAGGGCAGTGGTGCTGCAGATTAGTCCTGCAGTGTGGAAATGCTTTTAGTGTAGACAAGCCTCCTCCGTTTGTCCTTGCCTGGAAAAAAAAAAGAGGCATTTACTTCCGTTGGCTGTGATGGAGTGATTTCGATGGGGTCGAGAGCGGGATATCGCTCCTGCGTAGATGGAAACAACTCAGCAATCTGTAGCTGTTAAACAAAACACACACGGGAAATGGTTTATGATCATTCAGATATAAAAGTTTGGCTGCTCTTTGCAAAACTACTACGCCTTCTTCATTTTACCTTAAGTCTCAAATTTCAAATGCAGGTTTTAATGTATGCGATCCTAAAAAAGGGCTGATTGACAGCTGTATAATTTAACTCCATGGAGATGAGGGAGGATTTTCAGTCATTTATCATTACCGTGTGTCAAGACTCAAGCACAGAGGGCGTGATTCTCAATGATAATGCAAAGGCCCGACTAGAGCAATTTATCTAACTGACTTTGTTTGTGCCTGTCTGCCCCCACACACCCTGCAGAGTGCCAGCTTTGGAGGCAGCGAACTGCAAACTTTTCTAAGTCCCGAAAAACCGACTAAAACCTCTCAAACTGTGGGTAAAACAAACACATCTGTGCTTTGTGTGATCGGGAAATAAAAGACATTTCACAGTAAACCTTTGTTGTCTCGCGTTTCTCTCTGCTGCGCACCCACAGGTGTGTTTGTAGATGACCTTACACGCGTACGTTTGAAGTGCATGAAAAGGAGGGGCGTTTGAGAGGCAATGGGAATTATATGGCGCTAATGAACTCCGATTGATTGGGAGCGATTGTTTTATTTAAATTTAAAGATAATTTGATTGTTCAAGGTGACTTTGGTCAGAAGATGAAGGCTTGCTCTGCTAATTGAAGACTTTTCACAATAGGCTTCTTAGTGCAGCGCAGAACCCCAGAGAGAGGCTTCTCAGAATTAAATCTTCTAACAGCGGTCTTCTTTATTTATCCTCTTGTAGGAGGGGGGGGGGAAGAAAAACATGTTTACAATCTTCACCACTGCCTGAGCTTTAGATGACAACTCATTCGCTACTTTTTTTTTTTTAATTTTCTTTTTTTTTTCCAACCACAAAACACAACATTTACTTTGGCAGGAAACAATCCCTGATAGTGAATAATTGGTGTAATACAGTGTCATCAAAGGTGGAGCTGTCCTTGTTTGTCCAGGCGCAGCTGGCTGCACCTCCTCACTCTCATCTCTCACCGTCCCGCTGCTTCACCAAGTCACCGAAGCAGAGGAGGACGAAATCAAAATAATGATCCTGTGTTAAATCTAACGGCGTCACCAATCTCATCTCGCACTCATATGCATACACACACGCGCGTGGTGCGTGGCCTCTGTCGAGTTCAAAGCTGCAATCTGATGCTGCAGAGATTAAATGCCGGTACACAAATTGCAACAAGAAACAAAGTTTAATCAAAGTGACGTGACTGTAATCGCTCTGCCCTTATTTACCTGCTCTATTAACATGCCCTCGTCTCCATTTATAAAAAATGATCCCAGCGTAGAGCCTGACGGCTGCTTATGTCACCCTGTCCAGCGACCACCTACGACTGATGAAGTATTAAATTATGTGTTGATAATTAAAAAGGCTCACAGTGGCAGTTTTGTCCTGCAGCGCGAGTGAAAGACGGAGCCGAGGAGACGGTCAGGAATAAATCAGAGTGCTGGAGGTCAGCGCGACCGCAGAACAGTAGCACCTCCGTGATCGATGCTCCTTGTTAAGAATGGCTTAAATGAAGCAGAAAGATGTGTGCTGAAGATAATGACTCTTATTATGGAAGTGTTGAGTGAGCCAAGTGGGGAGATGCACTTTATGTCAATGAGCTCTGAGAATTTTTGAGAAGACCTGCTTAACATTCGACTCCTCGGTGCAGAAAGTACAAGTAGTGATGATGATGATGATGATGAAGGGGAGAGTCACTGGACCTCCCACACGCTCCCTCCCTGAGGTCTGCTAGGATGGTTCCTTAATTAGGCAAGTGACAGTATGTCCAATTCATTTGGCAAAGGTCCTCAGACAATATGACTAACGCTCAAACAACGGTGGGAGCTTTGAAAGTAAACCGCAAGTTTTGACCCTATGGAAGATTTCGTTTTCAGATGCAGTGTGTGTGTGTGTGTGTGCGTGTGCATGCAGAAAATGGGTAGTGTGTGTTTGCTTTAGCTAAAACTGATAGTTGCCCTGAATGGCTCAATTTTTTTAAAGTGCATTTGGTCAATCCAAAATGTAAATTTAAGTCAAAGCTGACTATTTAATAACAGTAAAATTGAGGTTTAGGCTTTTGTAGGAGAACGTCTGTGTGTGCAAAATTAAGAGTGCAGAATTACGATGCGACTACATGATAAACAATTTCACTACCTGGATTATTTTCATTTGTTGAACTCTTTGCCCCATAAAGATGATCTCCTGCACCCGGAATGATGAGTTCTGATAACTCAGTAGGTATCAATAAAGACCTGGTTTTGCAACCTTTAGAATAGTTTTTGAGTTTTTCTGAGGGCAGGAATCTGTAAGCAGGCCTGAAATATGACACAAACTCAATTCAGAAAAGAGCTTCAAGGGTTACTCCCAGTAGGCTTTCAAGGGGTAAAAAATTAAGGTCTTTGCTGGCTAGTGGATGCGATGGAGCATTGTTATAACCTTCTTGCATCACTGCGTGAATAAAGTGTTTTCTAAAAGCAGGCGGTAGATTTCTGAGTTCATTTTGAGTTCATTTTCAACCTGAAAAGGTCCAACTAGCTCATCTTTAATAACACCAGGACCCCAACTCCACCTTGCTGGCATCATTAGAAGTGGAGCTCTATTTCCGTTACTGATCCAGATATTTCTTGGCGTAGTATGACAGCATTGGAGCTGCAAGCTTTACACTTGATTCTTCTCAAATCTTCTGCAGTTAATTTGCACCCCCCCCCCCCCTTTTTTACTATTTTTTGGTGGGTCTGTGATTACAGCCCAACATCTTAGCAATTTCAAGAATATTGCATTCCATTTTCACTTTTCCCCAGTCAGTTAAACATCTTTTTTGGCCCATTTTACCTGGACAACAACAGCAACAACTGCCTAATAATTATGCACTTATTCTTAAATCCAATAAGCTTTCAACTTTATAGAGTGGAGTTGGAAAATGTGCATAAAAATGAAAATATGGTCAAAAACACTCATGTGCATAATACTTGTGCACATGGTGTATTTTCTGTGAAGGTTGAGGCCTTGATTTAGGCTGAAAGCTAGTGAGAATCCTTCCACTGACACAAGCAGAGAAAATATGTCTCCTTAAAGTTCCACTAACTTGTCCTTAATTGTGTTTAGCCATCAGCTCTGTCTGCCATCAGTGACTCAGGAATGTAAAGTCATTCCTGTCACGTGGCATCGATGGCAGCCCTGTGAACACACACGCATGTATGAGTCAGCCTGCGCTTCAGCATCCCAGCTGCATCCCAGCTTGCGCACACACACTTTAACGTCAGCATCTGTCATTGCTGGAGAAAAATCTATGTTTTCCTGAAGAGGCTGCAGCGCTTCTATTGAGTTTCCTGTTTTCACTGTGAGATACCAGTGTTGTTCTGGTCTCTGTTTATTGATGCACCGCGAGAGATACCCCTGCTTCTGATTTGGCAGAACAAACATTTGCTGTAATTGATACTGGCAGGAGGAGGAAGTGCTCAATAAGAAAGTATTGTTCTCCCACTGGAATGGATTCAAATAGCTACAGCGAGCGCTCTGTGAGAAGCGTCAGAATAAATTTAAAACATATACTCGCGGACATTTACATGTGACCTGTGTGGGAAGCATTTTTCCATACCACTCAGGTACTGTGTGTCCAAATGAATTAAGCAGAAAGTGCTTGGCTCATCAAATGTATTAATGATGTTTCAGCGATGGATGTGCTTTCTGTCTCCATTAGTCAAAGAAATGTAAAAATTGGTTGGGCATTTTTAAACTTACAACGACGGATGAACACTTAGCAGAATTTATGGTCTCCTCTGTCCTGACAGCCATAATGACTTATGCAAATTGGAGGTTAAGTGCTGAGATGAGGCAGTTCAGCAAAAACATGCACGTACCACCCAGGATGGATGGAAAGGTGGAGGAAAATGCAGATGGAAGGGTAAACTGTGACCGCTTGACATTTGCCCAACAGACGTCTTTATTTGTCGAGCGGGATACGGCGAGCTTGTGTTGCTATGTAGCGCAATTAAACACGTCTGGAGATATCTAAAAATGCACTTGATTAAATGAATTGAAAAATCTAACAGATACCGTGGGTGAAAAGTGCCACCTCATGTTTAGCTTGATCTCACAGTGATATATTTGCTCTGTGACTAAAAGACGATAATAAATTTTAAGAGTTTAGACAGCCAGATGGTTGGGATCTGACCCCCACAACCCTGTCAGATAGACTCAAAACCCCTTCAGCAACACCGCCTCTAATTTAAACTCATTTCAAACTAGATATGGACCACTTTAGCAATTACATGGAGCCTGAAAGGAGTTGAGGTTAGATGTTCTGGGTATGTTATGCTGGGAGGAGGCCCCGGGCCAAACCCAGGAAAAGCTGGAGAGGTTACATCTTTTGACTGGCTTAGCCCAGAAGAGCTGAAGGGGGTGGCAGGGAGATGGAGGAGGTGAGGGACTGCTTAGACCTCTGCCACCCAGATGGATGAATGGCATTTTTCAGTTGTAGTGGAAACAGTCTAAAAGGGACTCACTGCACCCAAAAGAAGTCTGGTCATAAATCTATAGGAGAAATTCAGTCCCAAAGAGCCAATCAAAAGCTGAGCTGGGAATTACAGGAACCAGTTGTGCTGCTGTACACAGTACAGCTTCACTACACCTTCAGCTGGAGCCTGGAGCCTATGTATTGTTAGCCTTGGCTTACTGTACCTGTAGCATAAATTTACATGACATTTGTTCACTGCTCTTAGTTAATAAAGCTCAGTGTTAAATTTGCACACATCTAGCAGAAGGATAACTTTCTGTAAATGTAAATGTCCGAAGTGAAGGCAAACTTTTTAAGCACTTCTTCTGGGACCACTGACTAGCTCTCTCCCCATTAATTTAGGTAAGTGCTTTTTAAATATTACAACAGAAAGCATGATAGCTGGACATCCTGGTCTGTAAAGTAAAGCAGACAGGGAAGATTCTTAAACCTGCATGGCTTCAAAAAAACCTGGAAATGTAGCTGAAGCCCTGAAGTCATGTCCCTGGTCAAAACTGATCATGGCACAACTGCAAAAAAAAAAAGAATCATAAGATGCTGTCAGTGTTTCCATGTAGAATACAATTCTAACAAAGTGAGAAGTATAGATGAGATTATTGCAGCGAGGCAATTAGATTCACGTGTCTCACATGTCAGCAGCTAATCTGATTAGCATGTGGCTGTTAACACATTTTTACATTTTTTTTTCGATAAATTACATTTTGACTAATTGGTTGCATGGTAAACTGAACATGTCTGACTATAACAACCACCAGCTCTCTGTCCTTGAGATAAACTTTTTGTGTTGAAGTCAGTAAGCCCAGTAGGAACTAAAGAGACAGCTGTGGCTCTGTCTCTGTAAACGCTGATTAGTTTATAATCTCAGTCACTGATTTCGGGTCATTCAAAATA